AAAAAAAAAAAAAAAAAAAAAAAAAAAAAAAAAAAAAAAAAAAAAAAAAAAAAAAAAAAAAAGCAGCTTACTTGATGTAGGATCATTTTTCCACCATGACACCACAGCACGATGGGCACTCACAGGACTTAGCAGGATTCAGAAGTGGATACAAGGTGGTGCATATGAGCATATCTTGAGCCCCAGGAACAAACAGTCTGGCAGAGAACAGGGGAGCCCATGCCCACATAGGTGCCTTACTTATGCAAGAGGAGTTTGATGATCAGCTTTCTGCAGTTGGAATCTGTGCAAAAAATATCACAAAATTCCAGAATTACAGTAACTTCCATGGTCATCAGAGGATCAAAGCAGCTAGGTTCTTTCCAAAATGATCTTTCTGAGGACAAATCCAGGAAACTATAGAAATCTGTCCTTGTTTAACCACTTGAAAACACAGCATTACACAGCACATGATAAAGGGGAAAAATATGCTCAGTAATATAACATCTGGTCCTGTACTGGGGCTCAATGTTAGGGCCATGGAAGTCAAGAGGAATTTTCAAATAGAAGCTATTTACAGCTGTATCAAGTCTTTATTCATCCATAAATACAAGCACATCTTACTACCATACGTAAATATTACTAGAAGTAGTTATTTGATCATTGCACTGATCCCCTTGTCGTTTAGCCCTAACTATTTTATTTTTCTCCTTTTTTTTTTTTTTTTCCCCTCTCATATCTCAAACCTCAAGAGTACATTGCAGGCCGGTTTGGATCTGAGGACTCCTCAGGCTATGCTGCTTTTTCTGTTGATGGCACTCAGAATGAGAACTTCATCATATCAATGTTTGTCCGAACACGCAAGGCTTCTGGATTGTTACTGGCTTTGAGAAACAGTACTTACGTCTACATAAGAGTCTATTTGGAAGGTGGGAAACTCACACTGTCAGCTCTAAATTCCATTAAGTTATTAGGAAAACACTTTGTGAACGATGGAAACTTTTACTTAATAACATTAAAAATAGAACCAAATAAGATGGAACTGTTCCAGTCCTCTCACTACCTAGGCTTTATATCTACTCCACTACTAACCATCCAAAGTAAGGATATTCTTTACATTGGAGGCCTACCAGATAACAAAGAAACTGATAGAAATGGCAGGTATTTCAAAGGCTGTATTCAAGATGTAAGAGTGAATAACCAGCCACTGGAATTCTTTCCCATCACCAATCCACTGAATTCTCTTATCAACCGAACCCTTATTAATGTCACCCAAGGCTGCACTGGTGACAACCTCTGCAAGGTAAGAACGACATTTTTCAGAGAATTTTCACATATTTATAATGGGGAATTTATTTTAATTTTTTTTGTATGTTTCCACACATTATTTGATTATAATGTCATCCTATGAAAACGCTAGGTAAAAGTAAAAACACTAAAAGGGGCAGGTTTTGTTGTGTTATGCTACATATGATCAACATCAGCATGAAATTGTATTTGCCTAGGGGAGAATTAAACTATTTTAAGGTTGAAATACTGTTTTTCACCAATTATTGAACACACTGTGCTGTCATAGTGTTCGTCTTTACCAGTTTCCACCTGAAATAAACAGAAAACTCCCTTTTGCCAAACACTCCCCCATCCCTAGAGCTGGGAGGCCACAAAACTTTATTCATACTTAGGTTATCTCTTCTCTTTCCCCATAGTCCAACCCTTGCCACAACGGTGGTGTGTGCTACTCAATCTGGGATGACTTCACTTGCACGTGCCCCCCCAACACAGTGGGGAAGGCATGCGAGGAAGTTAAGTGGTGTGAGCTTGGGCCCTGTCCTCATGAAGCACAATGCCAGCTGGTGCACCAAGGATTTGAATGTAGGTACATTTCAGTTATTCCAATCATCTTGGGAGATCAGCAAAATTTTCATCAGCATTGCCTTGAAACTAAATATTCACTGCCTCTGAAGTTCATTTAAATGTTATTTCTGTATTAAAATAATAACTATGTCAATTTTAAGGAAGGTTAATGGGAAGACTCTGCCCTATCAAGCCCAGAAATTCTCAGCCAGACACTCTGACTCAGACACCAGTGTTTATAGGACCTTTGATATTTACTTACTCAACTCAACTTGCTGTACAGTAGATCAGTACATTGCCAGAGTGGAGTGTACCCCTCATACTACCACTGCAAAGAGATAAGAGGATATCCAGTGCTGGATTAACCTTAGGATGTTCTCCATCTTCCTGAAAAGACAAGATATATAACATACATTACATCATTTGATTTCCTTAAATCTTCAATAGCTTTGAAGAAAGACACCTTAATACCAGCAGAACAGTTACTCAACTAGTGTCTTCATAAGAAGCACCTGCACACCAAACAGTCTATTAGGAAACTGATGAGCATTAGCTGTCCTTAGACAGCTAATCTCTTTCCTTCTCCTTCCCACTCTGGAGTGGAATTAAAAAAGCAAGTGAGGATCTTGAAGAAGTACTTTTTCTTTTTGCTATCGAAGAAAGCCCTAACGAAGCCGTGAAGGAAGATAAATTCATGCTCAATCTGATTGAAACTGTTAGAATGGCTGAGTTTTAGGAACGAGAGGGTTGGTCAACGAAAGACTTCTATTATAGATTGACCAATATGATGTTTTTATGGAGATTGTAAGAATCAGCATTGCAGGAGTTGTTAAAATTTATAACTGAAATTAGAATAATTGCACCTTCTCTCATAGATGGCTTTAATGATAACATCAAAATATGTTCTCTCATAAAATTTACTATTGCATATTATGGTAGAATATAAACACAGGGACAGCAAATGGAAAAGCACCTGAATCGTTTCCTTCTGCTAAATTCAAGGTCATTTACATTTTCAGTATCTAAAGGTCATCACTTTAAGATTTCTGTGCTGGTTTACGTGGCAACAGTAGGGAGTTTCCCTAAAAGATATTCTAAAATTCCTGCACTATAGAGCCACATTTTAAACCTATTGTATTCTTTGCTACAGGATAAACTTCTTGTTCAGCAGATGGTAATAAAAGCTTTCCTGGCCAGTGAGTTCTCTGCCAGCCTGGTGTCTACTGCTCTGGATACAATTTTAAGCCAAGGCAGCAAAAGAGCTGTTTTTCAGGGGCTGTGGCCATAGTTGTACCTCGATGGCTACGATTAGCCCTTTTGGAAGACATACGCTCTATAAAAGAGTACAAAAGGTTACACAATACTCCATAAAAGAGAACAAAACATTACAAGAAGCTGATGTGGGGAACATTAAGTAACAACAAAACTGTATGCCCACTGGCACAGCTGGGAGTAAAAGCACATTGAGGCAGCTTGCTGTGCTCAGGACTTTTTGTAAGAGTTCTACAAGGGTAATTTAGCTTTATGAGCTTAAAAAAAACCCAAACAACTCAGCAGCTTTGTAAGACATTTTAAAAAAAATCAGAAATAATTTGGAAAAACTCTAACTGATTTTTAGTACGATTTCCTCTGAGGAAACTTTTTCTATGAGAAAGACACTACATTTGATGCACTAGGAAATTTAGTTACACCTCTGCTGCCTTTAGTATCAGGATATACAGTCAATAACTTCATACTGGGACTCCAGGGGTTCTTTTCCTCAACACTTACTATGCCCACAGATAGTTCAGAAACCCATCTTATCTCAGGGCTAGGATCTTTCAAAGATAATTTTTTCTGAAATACAGACAGAAGACATTCCCTCCTGTCTGTCCTCCCTGTCTACAATCCTCATAAATCTCAGAACTTGTAAATTTACAGCCCGGTGAGTTAGTGCATTTTAGCAGAAACCACGCTAATGAATGATGTCAAATACCTTTGTGAAGATGTCCATAAAACTGCCACAACGTAGCCCATCAATTTTCACTCACAGCAGTGCAAGCTGAGTGCTGCTGCCCTGCCAGTCCCACCAGCACAGGCTCACTGCTGTCAGCAGGGCTGTGGCAGAGCCTACACAGCAGGAGAAGCTGGTTTTAAATGTGACAGGCTCTTCTTACATGGATTTTGAGGGAACTGTTCATAAATTAACTTCAATTAAATTCATCCTTTTGCATCAGTGAGAGTAAAGGGGCATCCAATCAAATCCTTTCTAAAACATCTTAAGAAACACCTAGGGAAAAAAAAAAAAAAAACTGAGGAGAAATGTTCAGCCCATCCAGATCTGTCATGGGGAATAACTAGATGCCTGTACTTAGGGAAGAAAGATAAAATGACAAATGTATGACTTCTTTTGAAATACAGAGATGACACTAATGAAAAATTGTATATTAGTGTTGACTTGAGATGATGCAAAGCAGCACACTTCTGATGTCAATATAGCTGATGCTGGCACTACCCTGTAATTTCCATAGTCATAAGGGGCAGAAAGGGATAACTGAAACACTGGTGGAATTTGACCATTTTTCAGCAAAGCAGAAAGGACTTACATGACAGGGAACATGGAGAGATATTGTTCCACGTGTGTTGGTTTAAAGTTGGCCTGGTTTCTCAATTATTGTCTTTGCACAGGTCTTGCTAACGCAGTGTTTAGTGGCCGGAGCAGTGCGATATTTTACAGAAGCAATGGAAAAATCAGCAGAGACCTCACCAATATCGTATTTGGCTTTCGAACTAGGGACACTGACGTGATCCTGCTGTATGCGGAGAAGGAGCCAGAGTTTGTTATCATCAGTATTCACAACTCCAAGTTACTTTTTCAATTGCAAAGCGGCAACAGCTTTTACAGGCTGACCCTGGCTAGTTCAGTGCCTGTGAGTGATGGGAAATGGCATCAAGTGATGGTCTCTATGGTAGAGCCCCTGTCCCAGTCCTCTAGATGGCACATGGACATAGATAACAAAAGGGACACTGCAACTAGCACAGCTGCTGCAGGAACCCTCAACTTCTTAAGAGAAGACACAGACATCTACGTGGCTGACAAGGCTTTTGACAGTCTGGATGGCCTGCGAGGATGTATGAGCACCATAGACATCGGTGGCATTTATCTCCCATACTTTGAAAACGCTGACATCCCAACTAAAAAACCCCAAGAGGAGCAATTTCTCAAAATATCTGCAAACGCTGCTCGTACTGGCTGTTTGCAGGTAGACATCTGCAGCTCATCTCCCTGTATGCATGAGGGGACATGTGAAGACTTGTACACTTCCTACCGCTGCACATGTCCTGATGGATACACTGGCACCCACTGCGAAGTTAACATTGATGACTGCTCCTCAAACCCCTGCGTTCATGGAAACTGCACCGATGGGGTCACCTCCTACGAGTGCAGCTGTGAACCTGGTTACACGGGGGAAAACTGTGAGGAGGACATAGACAACTGCCTTGGCCACCAGTGTGCAAATGGGGCCACTTGCGTTGATGGGATTGATGGATACTCCTGCCTGTGTGCTGCTAACTTCACTGGAAGATTCTGCAGGTACTACAGACAAAGCTGATCAGTGTGATTTTGTCAAGTCTCTTCTGAAGGGTCATTACATCACTGATGTCTCTGTTTTCAACACAGATGTTATGCATCTAACTACATATTAGTCATGGTTGCAGAGTCGATGTAAAAGGACTCTGCAGTACAGAAAGCTGTATGGATCAATTAGATGTGGACTGAGGCTGAAGTGCTGGCAGCTCAGGCAGAGACTGATGAGGCAAGGGCAGAGGGAACAAGGCATATCTCTCTTGTTCTGCTGCCAGCATTGTTCCTACGAGCTCTCTGATGACAGGATTACAAGTATTCCAGAGCTTGAAAATGCAAGTTAAATCTTTTTTTTTTTCTTTAGAAAAATATTTTAAGGTTTTTAAATCTTTAAAACTATATTTTTATTACAGTAATAGAGCTCTGGAACTATAAATAAAGAAATTCGGAGTTAGTGGGTAAGAGAAAATAACAATAGAAAGGCTGGCAAAGAAGTTTTTTCCTCATGCACAGCATCTTTGCCAAGTGGGTCTACTCCTCTCAGCTTGCTCTCAGCCTAGCTTTCCTGGTGGCTGCAAACACCACACAGTCCACTTTTTCCATCACTTCTGACACTCCTCTCATGACTGTTTCTTATTCATCTCAGATTCTTCTCTGGAAAGGCTGCGGTCTCTTCCCTGGCCTCTTTTCCCTTTCACTGCCCTTCTCTGCACACCATGAACTTCTGCCTTCTAGGCATGTCCTGTTGCTCTCAGAGAAGGCAAAATCCTGTCTGAGTATCTCACAGAGCCACATCAGTACTGTAACTAGAATGATACTAAATTCATCAAATTAGGAACGTTCAGCAATACATGTTTTGTGAGTCTCAGATCTCAGCTGCTGCTGTCACCCTTTCAGACAATATCCCAGTCAGTAACAGCATTGCTCCCCTGCTTCAGCTGAGAGGGCATGAGACATCCAGAAACCAGGAAGGTGCAAATAACAGCTGCTGTCTTCTTCTTTACCTAGATATAGAAGATTACCATACACAGTTTGTGGGAACGAAGAGAGAAACCTCACATGTTTCAACTACGGCAACTGCACCGACCTTGGCGGTGAGCTGACCTGTGCGTGCCTGCCGGGATTCATTGGAGAACGGTGAGATGCTTTGCCCTGCAGATCTTTGTGGAGCAATTCTGCCACAAGCTGTTCCAAAAGAGCCCTGAGGGTTAACAGCCATAGGGGTTTTGCCCTCCTGCAGAAATACAGACAAGGCAGCTGTTTAAGTGTAGCAGTTCCTTGCTTGAGTGGCTTTAAGGCTCTGAAGTAAAGCAGTTTGACTCAGACAAAAATCACAAATGAATATGGCAAGATTCAGTCCAATGTAGCACCAGTAACTCCAGAGCAAGATACTAGTTCTTAAACAGCACTGTATGTTTGCTTCCCCATGCCCGTTTTTAATCTGTGCCAAATTTTTGTATGACACGCTAGAATGTTATCTTTCTTCAGGTGGGGACACAAAAACACACATACCCTGCTCATGTATATAAATTAGCTACATACACTGTCACACAAATATGCAAAGCTGTTTCATTTTCACATGTATGTGTTGTGAATATACAATCTATTCTATCACAGGGATGGGATGAGGTGACATACCTGGTGGTATTGCAGCTCACTACTTTCTTACTGAATGCTGAAAACAGAATTATTATTTTTAGAAGAGGCGAAGAAACACTTTTTACATGTTATTGCTTAGCCTGAAACAGAGGGACCTTCCTCACAGTGAAATTCGTAACATTTTGCTGCATATTTTGCAATTTAATTACCATTTAATATTGGTCTACAAAGAGCTCTGGATGAGGCAGGGCTGACAGCCTCAGGGCACTAGGGGCTGTAAAAACGTAGGAAGGCATTGTCACGGTCACACTATGGTCTGAACAGGCAAGGGCATCTTTTGGATAGTGAGAAAGGAAATACCGTACGTATTCCTGGTGAAACTTGCACTACATTCAATTTAAAATCCAAAAGTGCAGCTGAACTAAGCTATAACACAGAGAAGTTTCCAACAAAAGGTTTTCATTCTCTCAAAAAACCTATGAGCCCACTGGTTTTGAGGAAACAGTACATTAAGCCGTAAAAGATAGGGGAAATGAAAATTCCCACCCCCTCGTCGCACAGTGTCAGCAAGCACATCTGCACTGTTAGCATCCACACTGTCTTTGTGCCACCTCACGACGTTCAGCAACAGTGAAAAAAATAAAATAAAATGAAATTTTAAGAAGTAAAAGCATATTCATAGATACTTCTTCACTGAGTGTATTTCCTGGGAGTTTAAGGCAGAAGGAAATTATTTTTTCCTTCTTCCTTGCCCTGCCAGGCAACTTGCTAACTGCAGCTTTGGGAACGAGAGTTCTTGCATCCATCCCACTGGCTGGCAGTAATCTCTGTTTTACAGTTCCCATGATTCTCGTATTGAGCACAGCCATGCACCAAGCGAGTCACACGCTAACTGACTATCACAGCCAGGCATTCTTCTCCAGTGTCTAAAATTGACTACTTGTCCTCTTTTCCTTCAGGCTGCCGAACCATAAACCAGTGGTACTTCCGTGGTTGGAGGTCTTAGTATATCAAATGAGAAAATTTCACCCCTACTTTTTTTTTAATCCAGAACAAATTCAAATATATCAGTTAATAAGAAAATTAAAACTAAACCCCTCTGCACATTTATGTATTAGATTGATAAAGCAGGCATTTTCCCTTAAGACAATATTTCATCCCTTAAAAAGCCACTGATGCACTGCAGAGAGAAAACAGTATCTTTCTATGGCAATCAATTGACTTGGGATCATACACACACAAAAAAAAGCCCAATGAACTTTATAGCAGGTAGAAAGGGAAATATGAAAATATTACTCTTCATAAAAGGAGATATAGCTGTCTCTTGAAAACAAACTTTTCATTTAATTCAGGCTGAGACAGTCAAAATTACCTAAAGGGAGTCAGGCCTTTAAATGTTCCTGAAGATCATCTGGATTCAGGTGCCTGGTTCCCTGGAAGATTTGAGGGGTGGTTGGGGTTTTTTAATTTGCATAAGTAAGTTCACAGCTGTACAATTTTTATACACTGGATAAATACTTTAGCTCTTTGAAATACATGAATATAATTTACCATTTAAAGAAGCCACTGAAAATTTTTTAGAGATTAATAAAGTAAAAATGTTTAATATAAAAATCTGCCCTTCTCTGATGTAACACTAAACTACTCTTGCACAGTTATGAATAGGATTTAACAAAGCAATTCCTTATAATTCAGAGGGAGTTTCTCACATTCTTCTTCAAGAATAAACCCACATTTTTATCTGGAAAAATTAGGATTAACTGTTAGCATTATTTGATGAAAGGGAGCAGGGAATTAAAAGGGAGCATTGTCAGAGGACAAAATCACCTAATCATTAGTAGCTTTCAGATAATTTTACACATTCCTATTATCCTTCCATTTGTTACCTTGAGAAATTACAAGAACTCAAATCTCCTTTATCATCAGAATTAACTCAAAAACATGTAATGATACATATTAAGGCTTTTAAAAGGCAGTTCTACATCATTCTTACCATTTTGGAGGCCCGTTTCAGAGAGACCAGGTAGAAGGTTGTGCTGGGATCTACTGATATTCCAAACTGAGGGGGAAAAAATAAAAGGGAAAAAAAGACCACAAACAAACAGGCAGGTGAATATTTCCAGGAGCACTCAGCTGGGAAAAAAACACACATTTGTTTGACTTATATCCAGATTACTGAGAAGGAAAACGTGCCCTGAGCTTCCTGGAACAATGAAAAGGATAAGCAAGCTGTCAGCAGGACTTGTGCCAGAGTTAGGTCTAAAATCATACACAAGCTTTCATTACACCTTGCTAAGCACCATTAACCATGAAACACTTTACAGATATGAAATTGCCTGCTTAACTATCTGTGTTTGAAAATACTACAGGAAGTTTAGGATTTGTGTGTGGCTAATCAGGTAGTTAATAAAATCATAAACACATGTGGAAATATGCCCCAGAGCATCTTCCTCTCCCTCCCCCCAAAACCTTTCGAATTAAAAATATGCCTGCCTGACGCATTTGATTCGTGATTTCAGAGGCTTAGAATTTGCAGTCTTTCCTCTAGGTGTGAAAAGGACATTGATGAGTGCAGCTCTGACCCATGTCTGAACGGGGGCCTCTGCCAGAACCTAATCAACAAGTTCCATTGCCTCTGCGACGTGAACTATGCCGGGGAACGCTGTGAGATAGATGTAAGCGACCTTTCCTTTTTTGTCTCTTTATTGTTGTGGCAGAATCTCTTTCAGCTTCTCTCCTATCTTATTCTACGAATGGATGATGAACCAGCAGTTGAGTGGGGTGATCAGGAAGACTACTAAGCGGTCTTTAAACTTTTGTCTTTTACTGCAGCAGAAGATGCCTTGACCAAATAACTTAGCAAAGCAATACAAATTTCAGAGTTTTAAAACTCGTTTTATATTTCTTCAAATGGTTTTCTACTGATCACTTAGCTTTAGAATAAATGCTAGTAAATGTTAGGAAGTGTTTCATCCCACCCTCACTGGAGCATTTCTCTGCATAGGCACTGCCACAGGGTGAAACTGGGACACACCGACAGGCAACTCACGGTTAACAAGAACTATCAGATTTACTGATGGTGGCATTCAAACTCTATTGCAACAATAGAGTGACAAAGACCCACTGCCTTCAATAAGGCTAATTCTACATTAAATCTTACACTATCTTTACGTCACACGTTCACTGCTGTTTCGTGGGCAGTTAGGTCTCGCACCCGTGAAATCGTGTAGGATATTTTTGGATAATTAGATAATGGTTTGGAATTAGCAATTGACAACCTGCTGAGGAGGCTCCCACATCTATTTGAATTAGTGGGAATCCTGCACTGATATCACTAATCCTGATCCTCTGCTCCAGTAGTCTGTACACCTCCAATATATTATACTGAGATAAAATACAACCATCTCAATCTTTACCATTGTTCCCTCTTCAAGAAAGGCCCAGTAAGTACCTTGGACTTGAAAACCATAGATTTGTTGTTTGTTTAAAGACTTTTTCAACTTCAAGTAAATCTGTGTTACTGATTAATGGATGAGTGTCATCAGACAGAAATTACGGGATTTTTCCTTCTTAGGAAGCAAGCAAGATAATTCAGTTGATTGGTTGTCCATGGAGTCTTAAAAGAATGAAAATAAAGGACTCAAAAATTATGAACACAGCAAAAAAATAGCAAAATATCTTTGCAGCTGCCTTGAGAGCGCAGGCACAACTGAAATACATTGATACATATAAAACAGATTTTTTTAACAATTCTTTAAGGCAAAAAATGCCCCGCATTTATGAATGGTGAAAACTTCTATTTAGGCATTCATTACAATATTGCACAGATTCTGCGCTCTTACTCATTTGAATCGCATATAAGATGGTGTTTTATTATTAAGAGAGTATATAAGTGAGATGAGAAGGATCTAGCAGAAGCCTCTGCAAGTGGATCTGACTTCTATTTTTGATTTTCCGCTTCCATAAATGTCCCAAATTCCGTTATTTCTCTGACTACCATTCAGCGCACAACTGCAGCAACATTTGTGCTATGAAAAAGCCTACTCCTATTTTCAGGGGGAGGAAAAGAAATTAACAAACTTTTCTGCACATTTGTGGGAAAAAAATGTGATTCATCCCTATGCTATGTCACATATTCCTGTTTCAAGCATCTGCCTTAGTATAAAAATTAAGCACAATATATTTACTTATTGTATTCAAAGATAATGTCTTTACTGTCTTTATCATACCCAAAAAGTGATTGGGGCAATTTTCTTGTTAATTTCTTAATTAAAAAAAACAAACTACAACAACCCTAAATATATACAAAAGAATAATCTAGCAAAAAATCCTTTCCTCTTTGAAAGCAGTCAATAAACACTAGATGGGAATTCCTGTTCCAGCACCGAAGATGAAATTAATGTAGCGGGGTCAGAAACAAAAATGTATATTCTATCAGACATAGGGCTTAGTTATCTTAATGGGAATCACATATAATACTGGGAACTGTAGAACACAAGCAAAGAGAAAAACAAACAAACAAACTAAACTGCATTTTGGATATTTTTTCCCAATGAAAATACTTTTTTTGGAAATTGTTTTTTACTCCAGATAAAATAATGAGATCAAACTTATGTTTTGGGTTGCTTTTATCTTTTTTTTTTTAATTATTTTTTAAAATTAAATCAATATTTATGTGTAAAATATTTGCCTTTGGGTTCAAAATATCAAGGACAAAACAAAATGAAAACATTCACTTTATTTAGAGTTTATTCCATTTTTTTCATATGGTGAAATTTAAAACTATAACATATTATGGTGGGAACTTTATTCCAAACTGTAGCTTTCATTTAATCATAGCTAAAAGCACTACTCAGTGCAGTATTATTGAAATAAGAAATAAAAAATTTAAACACAAATAATTTGAAATGAAAGCTATCATATTTCAGAATGCTAACTAAAGGCAAAGAAAGAAGAAATTTTAAAAATTCAAATGAAAAAGACTACTACCATTAACCAATTTTTTTTTTTTATGTAATTAAAATTAAGAAAATCACAATAAAGTTTGTTTTGTTTTTTTTCTCGCTGGGCTTAATTCAGTTTCCACATAAGTAAATTGAACTGTTATGTACTTTATAGAATATACACTACAGGACACACTACATTAAGCAGAAATTTCATCCTAGTATTAATGGTGAAGAAAGGTAGAAACAATACGTGTGAAAACAGTGCATCTGCCCCGCTATCGCTATATATATAATGTGAAAAACAGAGAACACATTTGTATAGAGATTCCAAAACTCTTTCTATTCAATACTAGAAACTTGATATGAGTGTACATACGACATTAAATACAGGTTTTATATGAACTTACAGCAATATGCAAGTTATTGATCTAGATTATATTAGCAGAGTTCACTCTTTCTTTTACTGAATTCACTCACCTGTAAATGAATTCTTTCCCTCCTCTAATGCCTTGTCATCATGAAACATCCCCTGACCTCTGATATGTTGCTCCTTTCCTCTTTGTACTTCTGTATCCTCAACTACATCGTGCACGTGTACATAACTTTCCTACCTTTATACACAAAATAAACCTTCTGCCTTTTTGTCTCTTTTTCGTCTGCTCCTCATTTTCTGCTGTTGACTCTCTTCATTTGCTTTCAGTGTGCCATGTTTTCTGAACACTTGCACTTCAGAGGTACACCACACAAAACCTGAGGCTAACTCACCCCAGTGTGTTCTCCAGGAGTGCTGGCACTGCAGGGTGCTTCCCAAAAAAGCTCTCCAGCCACTTGAAGCACCCCAGCTGCCGTGCTGTGTTACCCCCCCAGGGCAATCACCTCTGCCAGGTAGCTCTTGGTACCATACAGAGCACAACTAAATGAACGAACCCCCAGACCAACAATCCAGAGAGGAGCTTAAAGCAACACTTATTGCTTGGCTCCTCCTTAGGTACTGTCAACACAGAAAACTGACGGGCATCACAAGGCCTTTGTTCCCCAAATTTTTGTTGGGTCATCCCTTTTCACTGAGCTATTGCAGCCCAAAGGCTGGACCTGTCACACTCACAGCTCTTCCAACACCCCCAGTGGAGAACAGACTTGATATTTTTAGTTTAAAAGTTAAATAAACAAACAAATTCCAGATTAACGTAAATAACTTTCTTCTATATTTTTTTTCAAGAGATGCAGGTGTCAGACAACTAAATGGAAACAGGTCTAGAAGCAAACATTAAAAAATAGCTGGATGAATATTAACTCTAAGCACTAATCTTCTTGTAAACACATCCATTTGCTAAGATTTTTTAGAATTCAAGGGGTTTAAAAGGCCATTATTCATATTTAAAATTAAGTTATAACAGCAACATCTTTTTGATAATTGATTTTTTTCATTTAGAACACATACTCCATGTTGAGTTCATGATTTTGTGAAAATCTCACTATTCATCAAAAAAAAAAAAAAGAAAAAAAAAAGAAAAATTGAAAATTAGAAACACTCTCCTGCCACACTGAGAAGAGCTTGGGATCATTTCTACTTCCGGCCCTTACAAAAACAGGCTCTGACTGACCCTACCCTGCAGGTACAATCTGAACTCTGCCAGCAGTATCTTATCACAACTTTAACTGCAAAGAGCCCATGTGTTTGTGCATTTGAAAATATCCTTGATAATGTATGCTTCTTTAGGTTCTTTTACTCCCAGATTGCTGAAGAAACTAGATCCAACCATTTACTCAGTGCATGTGAACCTAAAAATGGGAAAAAATCTGCTTCAAACTAGCAGTGATGAAAAAAAGGTTGCATTCTTTCATTGCAAATATTTTTTCTGGCCTGACAGCCAAAAGTTCAGCCAAAAGGGCACTTTACTTGTATCTGCTAACCTTCAGCACTTCAACTTACATATTTTAATCCTGAGTTAGAGATTCTCCTAAAAACAAGGGAATTTCCGTTTGCAACAAATTATTCAAAATTCCTACTTCAAGAACCACGAAGCCTGATCCTAAGAAGTATAATCTTAAAAGGCAACAAAAAAAACCCTTCAACAAATCTTTCTTCTGTGTTACTGATACTACTATTACTTGAAATAGAACTCTAGAGGGTAAAAACAAAACCCAGGGTTTGGTTGTTCATTTTACTTTGTGTTTGAAGCGTGCCCCAAGGCCCCATTAGACTCAGGAGCACGTCCTGCAGCGCTGTGTTCTGCTGGTGCTGGCAAAAAGCACCGACTGGTGAACAACTCCCTCTGTACTTTGAAATTGTTTCTTGAGCACGGTCACCAGCATCACCTCTGGGACAGCACTTCCTCACAGAGCACACCCTCTCCTATTGTACATGTGGATATACGTGATATACTTGAAAGTGTTGGTGGATTTCATGTCCCAGAACTGAAGTTCTCTTTAGTTCACAGAGCTGCACCACTGTTGCTTTCATACACACTTCCAGTTGGTACCGACCCATCCTCCTGGGCACGAGGACAAGTATCATGCACTGGAGGTTACGATTCACATTTCTTGTCATTAAAAATACACTGATAAGCATGTAAGGTATGTTCAATATTGAATCTAAATTCAATAAAACTCTCTCAGGCTTCCATAGCACAGACACATGGAATTTTGATTGAATCCACTCTACAGTGATTAGCTAATGTATTCATTAACTGGAAGGGTTAGTAATATGAGCGTAGCAAATGATACTT